GGATCTCTGTGAGTTCCAGGCCAGCCTGGTTTACAAAGCAACACAGAGAAACCTGGTCTTGAAAAATCAAAGAAAAAAAGAGAGAGAGAGAGAGACAATGTAGTAGGAAAGTGATACGAAATAGATCACAAAAGGGAGGGGTGACCAGAGGCCACCTGTGCCACAATGTGACAGCACACTTGATAGAAGTATGGCCTGCACAGTTTCTTTCCTGATAGGCAGTATGTTTAAAATAGACAAGGGAGCCAGGTGTAGTGGCACACACCTTTTCTCTCAACACTCAGGAGGCAGGGGCGGGTAGAGCTCTAGAATTTGAGGCCAGCCTGGTCTATATAGCGAGACTCTGTCACAAAGAACCAAAAAGACTGGAAGTATAATTTTCACTTTGGCTCAGGATTTCTCTAAAGACAATACAGTATATTTATGGGTTTGAATGTGTGCATATGGATTTTAAAAATGCTACTGCGACTTTTTAGTAAGAGATGGCTCAGAGGTTAGGAACATTGCCTGCTCTTTCAGAGGAGCCATGTTTGATTCCCAGCACCCACAAGGCAGCTCACAACTGTCTGTAACTCCAGATCCAGGACACCCTCACACAGACACAAAACACCAATGCACATTAAAAAAAAAAAAGAAAGAAAGAAAGAAAGAAAGAAAGAAAGAAAGAAAGAAAGAAAGAAATGTGCCTGGTGGTGGTGGCGCCCACCTTTAATCCCAGCACTCATGAGGCAGAGGCAGGTGGATCTCTGGTTTTGAGGCTAGCCTGGTCTACAGAATGAGTTCCAGGAGAACCAGGTATATTTAGAGAAACCCTATGTCCTAAAAATAAAACAAACAACGACCAAAGGAAAAAACCCAACTAAAAACAAAAACAAAACTAGATAAAGCTTGAGCTTGGTCCTCTTATCTACCACACAGATTGTTTCAATCCCAGCACCTGTGCCTAGAGGGCTGCCAGGCGGCCAGTACCAAAAGACACCTCTTTGTGGAGGCATCGTAGAAGACTCTGAGTGACAATAGAGTAGAGCAATGGGTGTTCCCATTTCTGTGTTCTTAATAAGCACATTTACACAGAAGTCCTAAAAGATACATGCTAAATTAATGTTAGTTTCCATTGCTGGGACGAAAGGTTATAGTAGTCTCTTTTAAAAACATACTTTTGTGGTTGTTAAATGATTTATAATCAAAGTATTTATTTTCCTTTGTTTCCTCTCTATCTCTCTTTCCTTCCCTCTTTCTTCTTCCTTCCCTCCATACTTTATTTCCCTTCCCTTCTCATTTCCTCTCTTTTCTTTCCAAGCAAGATCTCTGTATATAGCTCAAGCTGACCTTGAGGGTACTGTGTGGCCCAGGCTAGCCTGGAATGCATGATTTTATTTCAGCCTGTTGGGTGCTGGGATTACAGGTGTGCCCACCACTCCCCAGCTCAGCCTTTTCTTTAAGATCTAAGATGAGTGTGGTGGTGAGTTCGTAGCTCTAATGGGCCAAGGCAGGAGCATTTTGAGCCAGACTGTCTTGGGAGAAAAAAATAAGTCCTGAAATAATTAAAAAAAAAACTTTTCATTTTGCCTAATTCAAAGTTGGATTTTAATTTTTCCCTTGCTACAGGATTTCTGTTAATGGAGAAAGCCCCAAACATCGGTCATGGCACACGCTGACAGCAATAGCTGACGATAAGCTTTTCCTATTTGGTGGACTAAGTGCAGATAATATTCCACTGAGTAAGTCCAAAAGCTTAGCATACAGTCATTACCTCCTTTACCCCAAGTCTTGCAGTGTGCACCACCCAGGTGTCAGGCATCTGGGGGAGGGCGTGTCCATGTCCCAGTCCCTACCCGGGGAGTGTGGGAGTCAAGTGAAGTTGTGGCCTGAGGGGTGCGGATGGTTAAAAACTATTTTACACTTCTTCCCATTATGTGTGCGAGAGCATTAATGTATATGCAAGATGTGCCACAGTCGTGTGTGTGCGTGTGTGTGTTTGCCATTACTTGAGTGTGGAAATCAGAGAACAACTTTCAGGAGTCAGTTCTCTCCAGGTGGATCCTGGGAACCACGCTTAAGTCTTGGCTGCAGGTGCATTTATTTGCTGGGCCATCTTGTGAACTCTTAACCAAAAACTTTTTCTATTAGTAGAGACAGTTTTTAAGAAACTTCATTGGCCGGGTGTTGGTGGCGCAGGCCGTTAATCCCAGCACTCGGGAGGCAGAGGCAGGCGGATCTCTGTGAGTTCGAGGCTAGCCTGGTCTCCAGAGCGATTTCCAGGAAACTTCATATACCCTTAAAAGTACTTATACTTCTTTCTGTAGAGGGCCTAGGGAACTTGTGCAAGTATTGACCCTGGGCACCCTCGGGGAGGTGCTTTTGTGATCCCAGTCTTGAATGAGATGGGGATTCCCGGAACTCCCATTCAGGCAGTCTAGCCAGTCAGTGAACTCTGAGGTCAGTGAGAGAGATCCTCAAAAGAGGATGGAGAGCCAACTGGGGACGGTGCCCGCATTGACCTTTTTCTCTAGATCTGCTGGATGGAACCTGAAAGCAGCCTCGTTTTCAAAAGAAGTATCTTGAGCATCAATAGTCTAGCCACCAACTCCACAAGTTCCATGTAGGATTGTTCATTATTCTTAAAGGTCATTATTCCTCAGTTTCTGCGTTGGGTTTTTTGTTTTTGTTTTTGTTTTTGTTTTTGTTTTTTGTTTGTTTTGAGATAGGGTTTCACTTAGCCCAGTCTGGCTTCAAACTCACTATATAGCCAAGCATGACTTAAACTTCTGATCCTCCTGCCTCTGTACCTCCTAACTGTTGAGATTAAAGACATACACCAACATGCTCTGCTGAGATTTTTCATTAAATTTGGAATATAATTTGTATATTTTACTATGGAATAATATTTCTTTAAATTTTATGTGTATGGAAGTTCTGCCTACATGTGTGTAGTGTCCACAGAAGCCAGAAGAGGGCGTTGAATCCCTTGGAAGTATAGTTACAGACGGTTGTGAGTCATCACGTGGGTGCTGGGCATGGAACCCAGGTCCTCTGAAAGAGCAGCTTGTGCTCTTAGCTGCTGAGCCTTCTCTCCAGACCCATACTTGCGAATTTTGATCATTAGTATATGGGACCCTGAATGATCTAACTCTTCCTTCTTTCCTTATAGAGTAAGATGAAGATTTGGTTGCACGGGTACCAAAACATTTAGTTTTAGTGTCCATTCAGCTTAGCAATGTGTACCGAGGGGTTCTCAGGGAGAACGATGCGAGATCTAGGATTTGATTTACCAATTCAACAAGAAGGACAATACAGAGACAAACAGCACATGTGGCAAAATTCTTTTCTTTTTTCCTCTCTCTTCCTCCTTCCTGCTCCTCCCTCCCCTTCCGTCTTTCCTTTTCCTTCTTTTGGGCTGGTGTTGAACCCAGGGCTCATATGTGCTAAGTACAGATTTTACTAAAAGCTACAAACCTTAATAGTTGTTTCTTCTAGGATGTGGGGCACTCTCACTTTGCAGGTGTTTAAAATGTTTATGAAAAATATGCAGACTCATCCAAGACATTGATACAAATGTAACATGATAAACCTGTAAAAAAAAAAAAAAACATTAAAATTGTAATCCGAAAGCCTAATCATAATTTCTGAACTGTACTTATATTGCAGGTGATGGCTGGATTCATAATATTATAACAAACTGCTGGAAACAACTTAGACATTTACCTTACACCAGGCCCAGGTAAGCCCAAAGAAAACAGCTGAGAGTTTTTAAAATATGAAGATTTAGGACAGAATGCAGTGTCTATAAGGAAACCATAAGGAACAGAGTTACTTTTCAGATTAGTTTTATGTTAACTGAATAAACTAATTATTATTTTGATTACATTTATTGGAAATGATTTATATAATTTTTATTCATTGTTGTAAAATTGAAAATGTTACTTTTACTAAATATATAATCTAGTCTATAAAGTAATTTAAAACCTTGTATAAGACCAATTTTTAATGTTACTATTTTTAATAAATAGGAATAGCATTAGCTTTAATCATAGTTGTTTTTTAGAAGACATTTAAAGTAATATATTGGGCATATTTGCTTTCAAGTTACTGTAGAGAGAGAAGATTTTTTTCTTTATTAACCATCTCCATGCCTATGATCCCAGCACTTGGGGAGTATGGGCAGGAGGACCAGGCCATCATTGGCTATGTAGTAAGTTTGATGGCAGCCTGGGCTACATGAGACCTCTGAAAATAAACAGCAGTCTTATTAATGTGAATATTTTGAAAAAGAAAATGCTATTTATTCATTGTATATTATAGAAACAATATGCTATTATTAAAGAGAATCAAATAGTACCATAAAAATGTCTCAAATTTAATTGACTAGTGTGATGAAAATGTCCTCATAGGAAATTCAGATACCGCATGCCACAGGGCCATCTGCAGATAGCATGCTGTCTCATGCCGTAGTTCAGAAGTGGCCTTACTCTAGATTGTATATGTTAGCATAAAGTCAACTTACATCTTCCTGTTATTTAACAAATGACAACTGATAGCTTATTTGAGAAAAAGACCTAAATATTCATATGTATGTTGATACGTAAATCTATACTAATAGTGTTTAGAGGCCATCACAACTGCATATGCTATTCTTAATTTTTGTGTGTAAAAATTCATTAGAATATGTTAAACCCTCTAGCTCTTCTGAAACATACTTGTTTAATTTAAAGAGTTTTTTTTTTTTTTTAATTGAGGCAACATTCAAGTTCAACTACTACTTACTTAGTTTTTGGCTTTACAAAGTCACTTATGACATGCATGTCTTCAGCTGTGAGATGAGGGGATTCCTGGTTTCCTCTAGGTTTTTCTTTTTTGTTTTCTTTTGTGAATACATTGATTACGATGAAAATGTTAATAATATGTTTAATTAAAACTTTTCTGACTTATATTTCAAGCCTTAATGAGTAATTAGTGCAAAACAACTGTTATGAATAATGCGCTAGTTGGCGCTAGAGCTGTGTAACTGCTTTCTTATGACTGCGCTGATGTGTCATGTCAACACTATGCTTTATTAGCGTGTTTAGGTGATAAGTGTAGAGCAGCTGTGAGGACACAAACTGTCAGTCTGTAGGAAACATCAGGTTGCAAGCTAGATGCCACCAAAACCAAGGCAGGAAAGGCTTTCCAGTGTTCTTCGGTGATGAAATCCAGGTCCGAGTTTCCCTCAGGCAGATAAGACAGAGGCAGATCTGCCTTCAGGTATGAGGTGAGGAGGAGAACAGGTGGGGTAGAGTTGAGTGTAAGGAGAACATATATGTGTGTGCGTGGTTTTGAATGAAGGCGACAGTGAGACCACATCTGCGTGCATTTTGTGCCTTTCCACACTGTAATGTGGAGTGACAGCTGCCCGATTCTCCTCTTAGAGTGCTAAGGCTTCCTCAGCCTCACCACTGTGGACAACTCAGAATGATTGCCCTGTGCCCTGTGAGATGCCTCAGGGCATCCTGCAGGAGACTCACTGCTATGATGAAGCACTCCTCTCCAGGCCTCACTGTATGGAAGTCTGTGCCTGGTTGTTATACAACTCTCTGTAGAGCATTGTTTTTGTTACAGGTGGCTGTCAAGAATGACTCTGTGTTGTACAGATGTCATAGAAAGTGCTGGTGTATAGAGCCCTAAATCCTGTCAGGTCCTGTCAGCACTGCCAGCATTACTCGTTACTGGTGGTTTCAATCCTGGACCTTAACCCAGTCCCTCCCATAAGTGAGGACTTCGGTGTTTTAGTCTCTTGTGCCTAACTTCTCTAATCCCATGTCCAACCCCTTGACATTATCTGGTTCCTACTGAAAATGTATGCCAATCTATACCCCAGCAGGTGATTTGGAGAATTGGGCAGCATATTTACCAAACAGCGTATCACATGCCTCATCCCAGGTCATTTGTCATTGTGTGTATGTTTGCGTGTGTGTGTGTGTGTGTGTGTGTGTGTAATGAGGAAAGTGTGCAGAGTCCCACTGTTTGCATTTGTGGGGTTTAAGTAAGAGGGATTAATGTATAAAAATACATTTTACAATAAAAGTGTAATATATAGTATTTTCTTGGGTGACTGTTGCTTCAGTAATTTGTTCTCTAAAGAAAAGTATCCTAAATGAGGATGCCAGAAGTTTGAGAACAGCCTGGATGCATAGTGAGCTCCAGGCCAGCCTGGTGGTATACAACTGCAGAAAAAGGCATATCTAGTTCCAGGCCAGCCTGGTCTACACAGAAAGGCCTTTAAAAAAGAAAAAAAAAAAAAAGGAAAAATATAGTGCTCTCTTAAAGTCAAAACAATGACTTTGTAAAATTCCGTTTATTTTGTACAATTGAGAATTTACCTGCAGTTTTTTTCTGAGAGCTAGAGCCTGTGGAAATATTCAACTTTATAAAGCAATAAAATTGCTTTTGGTGAATAATATGAAATTTGAGATAGGCACAAACTACCTATCAGACCATTTCTCAAAGAACACTAGATGCTCTACTCCTTCATGAGATAATTTGTATATTTAATGATTTAGTTAATTAATCTTTTTATGTGTTTGCTTTTGCTAATCAAAAGTTTTGGAGTACCTACTGGGTGCAGAATACCATACTGGACATTTTTTGGAAGGGAAAATGAGAGCACTCAAGTTGCAGTGGTGTACTGGTGTTGGGAAAAATAGAGGGCTCATCAGGGGAAAGGCAGAACTTAAGCTTTGTAGGGAGAAAGTAGTTGTTGATCATAAATATTAGGCTAGAAAACCCACCTTCTAGCAGAGATACATCTCTATCAGGAAGTTCTCAAGACCACGGTGGATTTTAACAACTTACCATAAGACTGGGGGGGGGTAGCTCTATGAGGGGAGGGATTGCCACATACACAGGCCTTGGGTTCAGCACCCAGTGCTGAAACACGCGCGCCCACACACACACACACCCACACACACACACACACACACACACACACACACACGCAGTATATTCTAAAATGTTGAGAGGAGAAAGCCTTGAAGATTCCTGACACGGATGTTTGAGGGACAAAGAACCATTACCCAGATTTCACCATTGCACACTTGGCTCAGATCGATGTACTGTACACTGTGTGTATGTGCAGGTGTTAGGTACCAGTTAAAACTTTTTGAAGTGATTGAGACAGCAAAGATTATTTAAAAGGCAGCATCTAATACTGTATGTAGTTGGAGGAGATGATAGAGGGAAAGTTCAGAACACGTTATGGTATTCTGTACCCAGAGTGATGGGCTTGAAGTAGACGTGAGAAGGAGCTTCCACATGCATTTGTCAGCTGATGGGGCACAGAGTGGGACAAAGGTGACAAGAACTGACATGGAGGCCACCAAAAGAGCTGGGGCAGGTGCCTGTTGTGCCTGAGGAATTGATCCTTTTAAATTCGTTTCAGGGATAGTATATATAAGATAAAGGGCTTAGCAAGCTGGGGCCGAGACAGGGTCACTAGGAGTCATCTCTGACTGAAAAACGATGAACTTGAGAGAACCGTTGAGTAGCTCACCTTTAGAGTATGAGCTTTGGAATGAACTTCTGTGTGCTATGTGCCATCGTCCCTGACAGTGTCTCACTCTGTTTCTACATTTCCATCACAGGTTATGGCACACAGCCTGTTTGGGAAAAGAAAATGAAATAATGGTGTTTGGTGGGAGCAAAGATAACTTACTTTTCTTGGATACAGTAAGCAAATCTTGTATTTAAACATTTTCTCTGAGTAATTATGATATTCAAACAGCTACTCCACAGTGTTGTTGCTATGGTAATTGCAAAGCACATCAGGACCACAAGTATTGCCTGGAGGACCACCCTTCCAAGTCAGAGGCTTTGTGATGTATGTCAGGATATTTCAGTTTTACAGACCAAGATCAGTTTAGTAATTTCACTAGTTAAGTTACTAAAAATAGCCTTTTCTCTCCAGTGCTGGGTTTGAGCCTCGGACCTCGGATTCATACACACTGGGTTAGCACTCATTCCCCAAGCCACAGCCCTTGCTCCCCTTTCTGTCCCTCTCTGAGCCTTACCATAATATGAGCATTTATAGTTTGAATGTATTAAAATGTCTGTCTATAAAAAGAATACATAATCATAATAATAATTACTATTTAGTGATTAAATAGAGAACTAATTTTTAAATTATTTTTGTTCTTTTTTTGAGATAAGGTCTCACTATATAGCACTGGCTGTCCTGTAAGTCACTATATAGACCAGGCTAGCCTTGAATTCATAGAGATCCACCCACCCCTTCCTCCTTAGTGCTGGGATTAAAAGGTGTGTGCCACACCATTCCTGGCACCCATGGAATTTATTAATGGAAGAAACAAGACATGGCAATCCTTCTAAATCCTTCTAAATCTCATGGGCTAACTTCTCCCAAGAAGAAACTGTTCTGTTTCTTTGTGTTTTATGAGGTTTTACTATTGCTTCCCATCTGTTTTACATTTGAGTTTGAAACATTGCAGCTTCAACGTGCTATAAAGTCAAAGGAATAGAGGTCACATTTTGAGAGCCTTGTTCCTCCCCTCGTGGTCCAGAGGAAGTGGAGAGCAACTGGCCACTGGCACCTGCTGTACTTGACCAACAGGCACTGAATGCTCTAATTTCATAGGCTGCTGAAGACCATCGAGTAACAGAGATGTGGCAGGCACAGCTAGCCAGAGTCACCAACAAGGCACTGGCTCCCTTTCTTGTCCTTAGGCAGAGGTTGCTGCTACAGAGTGACAAACCTTAAAAAAAGATGGCTTCTCTGCAGTGGCTTTGGTTGATCTTGTAGTCTGTGGCCACCAGCTCAGACATGTACAGTGAAGGCTCACAACACAGTGCTCTACTAAAGCACTAGAACCAAGACTCCAACTCAGTTCAATAAAAATGACTTCCTGATACGCACAAGGCCCTGGGTTCAAGTTCTATCACCTCCCCTCCCACAGTAGAACATTTGTGTTTTGTCTTATTTTTTTTGGCAGTGGAAGTCCTTATTTAGAAGGTAGGCATGGTGGTCTATTCCTATACCCCAGCACTTGCTCAGGAAGTTCACGCAGAATTGAGGGCTCAAGGCCAACCTGGGCTACACAAAGAGACCTTGCCTCAAAATATTTAGAAAAGAACAATAAACAAACAACAACAACAAAAACCCTCTACTTAGAATACAAAACTTATCATTGCCAGTTGGTGAGGCACACACCTTTGATCCCAGCACTCATGAGGCAGAGGCAGGCAGATCTCCAAGTTTGAAGCTAACCTGCTCTTCAGATTAAGTTCCAGGAGAGCCAGGGCTACACAGAGAAACCTGTCTCAAAAATTCAAAAAATAAAATAAATAATATTTGAAATACAAAGGAAGATTCCACAGGGAAGCCAGGTGTGGTTTGGTTGTTCATGCATATAATCACAGACTCAGGAGGCTGAGGCAGGAGAATTATCACTAATTCAGGAGTATCCTAGGTTCCAGGATAGCCTGGGCTGTATAGCAAAACCTTGTCTCAAAAGAATAAACCAACAAACACAGGGAGGTGATGGTACTCACTGGGGAACTGCTTTCCCTGTCAGAGGGAGGCCTGAGTCCTGGTGGCCTTCAAAACCACAGAGAGAACCTCCTGGACAAGGAGTCAGAGCACAGGACTTTTCAAGATAAGAGTAATTCAGCAGAAATAAATCTGTTTTTAAAAAAAACAATTAACTAGTTCTGTTACTTACTGTTCTCAGAGAACAGTTGTAATTATATAAGGTATTGATTAGGTAAAATTTTGGTTACTGAAATTTGGTATTCATATACCTCACGGTTTTGTTTTTTGTTTTTTGTTTTTTGGGTTTTGTTTTTTTGTTTTTTTGTTTTTTTTTTTTTTTTTGGTTTTTCGAGATAGGGTTTCTCTGTGTAGCTTCGGAGCCCTGTCCTGGCACTCGCTCTGGAGACCAGGCTGACCTCAACCCCACAGAGCCCCCCCTGCCTCTGCCGCCCGAGTACTGGGATTAAAGGCGTGCGCCACCAACGCACAGCTCTCATGTTTTCAAATAGGAAAAAATGTATATATGTACAGATATATGTCTGTGGATATGTACGTTTGTATGCTTGTGTGCATGTGTGTTACTAGTTCAAGAGAAATTTATTGGCTATTTTACATTCATACAATAGAAATGATCTGTAGTTGAAGTACTGTTATTTTCTTCAACTTGGTAAGACTTTTTTTTTTTTTTGACTAGGGTCACTGTAATGATTTATTGATTTTTCAAACACAGCCCTATTCACTGCTCAGGTAAGTAATTACAGTATTTTTCATATATATGATGTCATGTATAAAAGTGTGTGTGTGTGTGTGTGTGTGTGTTCACCCAGCATTCACAAGGCCCTGGGTACAATCTGCAGGTCTGTATAAACAGTGCATGATGTCTGGCGTCTGTAATCCCAGCACTTGGGAGGAGGAAGCAGGAGAATGAGGCGTTCAGTCTTCTTCAGCTATGTAATGAATTGGCTTTAGGGGGTTATTGTTGTATTGGTTTTTTGTTTGTTTTAGAAAGACCTTAAAGCTGGGTAGGTAGGAAGGGGGAGAGGATCTAGAAGGACTTGAGATAGGGGAAGAATATTACTAAAATATATTTAAATAATAATAATAATAATAATAATAATAATAATAATAATAATAATTTCCTTGAGCGGGGCGGGTGGTGGCACACGCCTTTAATCCCAGCACTCGGGAGGCAGAGGCAGGGGATCTCTGTGAGTTTGAGACCAGCCTGGTCTACAAGAGTGAGTTCCAGGAGGACAGGCTCCAAAGCCACAGAGAAACCCTGTGTCCAAAAACCAAAAACCAAAACAAAACAGAACAGGCTGGTCTTGAACTCACAGAGATCCCCTGCCTCTGCCTCCTGAAAGCTGGGATTAAAGGCACGTGCCACCAATGCCTGGCAGGCTTGAAAATGTTTTAAATAATAAAAAGTGAAGTTTTTTTTTTTAAAGGATGGAAATTCTGACATGAGCTATAACATGGGTTGACCTTTAAGATGTGCCTAGTGAAGTCTCTCAGTCACAAAAGAACAAATGCTGTGTGGTTCCATGTATCTGAAGTAACCAGAGTGGGTCAGACTGCACTGTGATGCTCCTTGGTGGCTCCCACTGTGCGCTCAACCTCGGACCTCAGGCCATATTTAACCCACTGACTGAAGTGTGCTTTCTGTAATAAAACTGATCTTTCATCTCCTGGGCCTTCGGGAGTGTGGCTGTCTTCTGTGTCCGTTGAGGACCTAGGTCTCAGCATGAGGGTCCCACCTGGAAAGTTCCCCTGACTTGTGCTGTTTGCTTCATCTCCGTGGAGCCCTTCAGGACTTCCATCACCTGAGACTCAGCATTCTATCAGCTAGATGTTCATTTCCTTTGCTAGCTCATGAGCTCCTTGGAGGTCAACACAGAGTTTCCTGTGTTGATTTCCTCCCCTGTGGCATGCCCGCTGAGAGTTGTCTTTCACAGGCTGGTTCCTATCTGCTTCCTCCTGTCTCCCCATGACAAGGGCACAGGAGTTGGGGTGCCAGCATAGGAGTGGAGTGGGGCATATACTTGGGTTGAAATTCAAATTTTCCTATATGTCTATACCCAGAACTTCTTAACTCTTCTTATTTGGAGTTAGTAATAGGAAGGAAAAGGCTCCATGAAAATAAGAACAAGGGCTTGTGGAGTCAAATGGAAGGTAAACGTTTTCCTACACCAGTAGGCCCTGGATTCAGACCTACATGTTCTGTTTGTGGAAGTGACAACTAAAGCAAGCCCAGGAGGCTGATGTAGACCTGTGATAGGGCAAGACTAACAGGTGCTCAGTTCTCCAGCCCTGCAAACCCTGAGAAAGAAAGAAAGAAATTTAGTCTTTTGTTTTATTTTAGAAGATCAGAAATGTTTTATTTTATAATTATTTTTGAATTTGTCAAACACAAATTTAAGTATTTAGAAAAGAGAAAAACAAAGTTAAAGCAAAGAAGATGACAGAAAATATACAAGTTTCATTAATTTAAAAAAAGATTTATTAATTGTTATTTTCTGTGTACAAGTATTCTACTTGTATGTATGGCTGTGCACCATATACACGCCTGGTTTCCATGGAGGGTGTTGGATGTGTGTGAGCCACCATGTGTGTGTGCTGGGAATCGTACCCGGGTCCTCTGGAAGAGCAACCAGTGCTCTTAAACACTAAGCATCTCTTCAGCCCAAGTTTCATATTTTTTGTTTTGTTTTTTGTTTGTTGAGACAAGGGTTTCTCTGTGTAGCCCTGGATGTTCTGAAACTTGCTCTGTAGGCCAGGCTGGCCTCAAACTCACAGAGATCTGCCTGCCTCTGCCCCGAGTACTGGGATTAAAGGATCTGCCAGCCACAGCCAGTCATCTCTTATATTTTTTAATTTTACTTTTTCTGAGAATTTCATACATGAGTATGCTGTATATTTGCATCATTCCTACCCCTCCATTCTCCTTATTTATAATTATTGACACATGCCATTTTTTATAACTTAATGGGACTCACTATCCTGTCCATCTATCCCTCTGTCTTCCCTCATTTCACCTCCAGTCTTCCTGCCTCTGAAGTCCGAATTTTGCTTTGGTTTTTTTTATTTTTTATTTTTGGGCTTCATTCTTTTCTGGCAAGTGTTCTACCATTCAGCTCTATCTCTAATCTTTTTAACTAAAAATTATTATGTGTGATGAGTTACACTTTCTATTTTCTTGAATTTGCTCAGATATGGTCTCTTTATGCTGTAAAAAACATGATTATTGTAGTGATCTTAAATATCCTCCCATATTCCAAATAATACAAAGGAAATATATACATATTCATATATACATATATGTACACACACACACACACACACACACACACACACGCACGCACGCACGCACGCACGCACGCACGCACGCACGCGCGCACACATACACACATATGTTGCCATCTAGAGTATACATAGATTTTGTGGAAAGGGAGAAGAATACTTAGCTTGTTGGACATGATAGCACACTCCTGTAACCCCAGTGCTCAGGGAGCCTGATATGGGAAAATCACCATAAGTTTGAGGCCAGTCTGGACTACAGAGTGAGTCCATGTGGTTTTGTTTTTTTTTCCTTTGGGTCTTGATGCATGCTGGCAAGTGCTCATTGTATGCAAAAATGCTCAAAAGTAAGCAAACAAGGCTTGAGGTGGCTCAGAGTTCAAGAGGACTTGTTGCTCTTCCAGATGACCCAGATTTGGTTCCCAGCATCCATGGCCGGTGACTCACAACCCTCTGTAACTCCAGCTCCAGGGGATATGATGCCCTCTTCTGGCCTCTGGGGGTTCTTGCACTCTCATGGCATACATTCACACAGATGCACACACATATAAAATACCATAGTGAGTCCTGGGTTCAGAAGATAACCATTCTCTCATGCTTTATTGGCAGGTCATGTCTTGACTGCATTGGGAAAAATGCTACCATTTTAAAAAGTCAGATATCTTTATTACCTCCTAAACTTCTGCAGCAAGTTCTCAAAAGAATAACCTTTTGGACTGCAGCCAATTACCGAAAAGAGCAACGAGTCCTAAAAGAAGGGACAGAAAACAAGCACCAGTGGGTCAGTAGCCACTGAACGACTCCAGGTGCAGTATGTCAAAGCGTCTTGATGAGACCCCACATCTGACCTTCCCCTCCTGTCACAGGCTCTATTCAAAGGATCAAAGCTGAAACAAATGACTTGCTAATGTGAATACATGATGTGGGATATATGGAAATAAGATGTAACTGAAGATTTCTCTGTGTATTTGTAAACCGATTTACTTGTAACAGACAGACTACGTGTTCTTTCTGGAAATAAGTACAGCAACAGCAGTTCTTACCTCAGTGTTTACTCTTCTGGAAGGGCAGAAATTACCCTAAAATCTTCAGAAATCCTCTAACACAACTGTAGGTGTAGATATAAAAATACTCACTAACTTCCATTACTTTGTGGTCACCCAAGTGTCTCCTTAAATAGCATCATCGGAACTTCCCCTCCCTTGTTGATCAGGGAAGCATCTTTAGGTAGTCCTGGCTCCACCACCCTCTCAGGACCACATGGGAGGAGGTCGGTTTGTCTCACAGTCTTTGAAACATTGGGGTGTGGGACATTAGTGGCTTTTGAAACATGGTAAAATACACATTGCCCTGGGGAAAAAGTGTTTCTAAAGTAATGTTTGCAGGTAATGTGGGGTGATAATCTCGTGTTTTTGACTCTCTGATTCCTCATTTGAGCTCTACAGAGTTGACGCTCTAGACACCACAAGTCCTGACAGTGACAGCTCCTTGCTGTCAGCATTGTTTATTCAGAAACGGGAGACTATGTTATGCTCCTCAAAATGGTACTGTGGCCATTTTGAGTCATTTTCCTTCATCTGCTCAGTCTTGTCCTTCCACTGACAACTTGTTATGATTGATTATTAAAGGGTTCAGTATGTGACATATTCCCCTCACTGTCACCATGTAAGTTGTCTCTAAACTTTAAAATGCTGGGGAAGTTTTGGGTTTGTTTGGTTGGTTTTTTTGTTTTGTTTTGTTTTTTCCTTTTTTTTTTCGAGACAAGGTTAAAATGCTGGGAAAGTATATTTCTGTATTGTATATAATTTATAGTGGACATTGTAGTATTTCATCAAACTGTAGATATGTTTTATATGTGCTGTATCTTGGATGTGAAAAGCTTCTATTTGTGTATTGGAATAGTTTATGTTTACATTTTATTTATTGAACACAGTGTATAGAATTATTGCTTCACAGTCAGTCAGTGTGGACCAGTCAGAGTTCATTTCAGTGTAGGGCTTGCAACATGACTCAGGATGGAAAATGGCTTGCTGCACAGGCCTGGTGTCCTGAGTTCCATCCCTGGCACCAACAAAAGGTGGGAGGAAAGAACTAACACCATGATGGTTGCTCTCTGACCTCCACACATGTGTTCAGACATATAATGCATTTACACACAATAATATCAAATAAAAATTAAAAGCTTCACTGAAATTTGATTTCTTTCTTACCATTTGTGGTCTGCATAACAGACGTGGGAACTGAATTCTACAAATAATATACTTCTTGGGGGAAATTACTATTATTAACTTAAATATCAGCATTTAACAACTAAGATGCACGTGCACACACACACAAAGGCAGAACACTATGGCACAGACGATGTGGGAGACATTTGGAGTCTCTGTACCTCACTGCAGGCAGCAAACATTGGGGACTGGGGCTCAGTGCTCCTAACAGCTAGATCCTACCTCCTGATTTCCACAGATGCCCAAAATGTCACCACCATCTGACGACCAAGTGTTACATTCAAGAGCTTGTGAGGAGCTTTCATTTTCAAACCATGTAATTCTACCCCTAGCCCCAAAGCCTCATGACCATTTGTGCGTTCAGTTTACCTCCTAGAGTCCCAGCAACGCCGAGACCCTCAGAAACCCCAGTTCCAAGTCCCCAAGACTCATCTCTCGGCCTTGGGGTTGCCTAAGCATCATCCCCATGGATCCAGCTGACAGCAGAGGAGACAAAGCCCTGGACCTGGAATCTGATCATGCCTGGCTTCAGGGTGTCCCTGCTCCATACCTTGGAATCTTCTAGCACTTGCCGTCAGGATGACAGACACTGAGGCACAACACCTGGTTGCTGTGGCCCAGGAGAGATGCCTCCTGGGAACAGGTGCTGATCTTTCAGGTGAGTGTGGTGGTTTGAGTGAGAGTGACCCCCATAGGCTCGTAGGGAGTGGCCTTGTTGGAGGAGGTGCTTCTAAATGTGGCACTGAGCCCCAGTCCTTGATGTTTGCTGCCCTCAGTGAGGTACAGAGGCTCCGAATGTCTCCCACATCGTCTGTGCCATAGTGTTCTGCCTTTGTGTGTGTGTGTTTGTGTTTGTTTGTGTGTGTGTGTGTGTGTGTCTTAGTTATTAAATGCTGATATTTTAGTTCATAATAATAATATTCCCCAAGAAGTATATTATTTGTAAAATTCAGTTCCCATGTCTGTTATGCAGACTAAAAATGGTAAGAAAAGGCCAGGCATTGGTGGCGCAAGCCTTTAATCCAGGCACTTGGGAGGCAGAGGCAGGCGGATCTCTGTGAGTTCGAGGCCAGCCTGGTCTCCAGAGCGAGTGCCAGGATAGGCTCCAAAGCTACACAGAGAAACCCTGTCTCAAAAAAACAAAACAAACAAACAAAAAAATGGTACGAAAAAAACTTAAAATTCACACTGAAATGTCTCTAGGATGGGCATTGAGGTTTCAGAAACTCAAGCCAGACCCAGCGTCACTCCAAAGTTACACAGAGAAACCCTGTCTCAAAAAAACAAACAAACAAAAAATGGTACGAAAAAAACTTAAAATTCACACTGAACTGTCTCTGGGATGGGCTTTGAGGTTTCAGAAACTCAAACCAGACCCAGTGTCACTCTCTTCCTGCTGACCCAGATGTAGAACTCTCAGCTACCTCTCCAGCACCATGTCTGCCTATATGCCGCCATGCTTCCTGTCATGTGATAATGGACTAAACCTCTGAACTGTAAGCCTGCCCCAGTTAAATGTTTTCCTTTATAAGAGCTGCTGTGGTCATGGTCTCTTGATTGATAGCAATAGAAACCCTACCTAAGACAATAAGGAAAACCTTATTTTTTAGGTTTTTTTTTTTCTTTATTTGTTGAGGCAGGGGTTAGGGTGGCATACGAGGAGATCAGAGAAGAACTTGGACCTTGTGGGTTTCTGGGGCCCAACCCAGGCTATCCAGCTTGGCTGCAGGTGCTTTTAACCACTGAACCACCTCCGCCCCAAAAATCCCGTCTTAGACTGACTTGAATCTTCTCTAGATTTGATGAGGTAGAGTGATGTATAAGCAGTGGTTGAAAAGTTAGAGGTCTTCTGTTTGGGTTTATTTATGTAATATGTAAACATCAACATGGATAAATATGGAGCTGCAGGAATGAAGAGCCCTGAAACTCGAGGCTTTTGGTGCATGCCCACACACAAATGCTATAAATACAATTTTTAAAATGAAAAAAAAATACCAAAGTGGACTGGGCAGCACTTGGGAGGCAGAGGTAGGTGGATTTTTGTGAGTTTGAGGCCAGCCTGGTCTACAGAGTAAGTTTCAGAACAGCCAGGGCTGTTACACATAGAAACCCTGTCTCAAAAAAAAAAAAAAAAAAAGGCAAAACAAAACTTAAAAAACCTAGAGTTGATTTAAACTTTTCACTTAATCCATTGAAATGTAATAGTGAACCTAGCCTGTGCATTAACATAAAACTCTTTTTTTTTTTTTTTTTTGAGACAGGATCTCCACATAATCCTAGCTGTCCTGGAATTCCCAATGTAGACCAAGCAGGTCACAAATTCACAGTCCCACATTGCCTCTGCCTCCGGAGTGCTGGGATTAAAGGAGTGTGTTACCACCCTGGCCAACATAAGATATATATATATATATATTTTTTTTTAAACAAAAATAACCTTGTTTTCCAAGACAAAATTTAAAACAGCAATGGTATTGTTTTGCATTTTTTATGAATATCCTTAATAGACACCTAGGGTTCTTTAGCTTGCTCTTTATTCAATTTGTTGTCATATGTTTTTAAAGTTACATTATTACATGTATACATGTGCACACGCACATGTGTGTGTACATGCATGCACACAGAGAATATTTTTATGTGCATACATGCACATGTGTGTGTGTGTGCGTGTGTGTGTGTGTGTGTTTGTGTGTGTGTGTGTATACACACAGAGAACAACTTGTGTGCTGGAGTTAATGCTTTCCTTCTACCATATGGGTCCCAGTGATCAAACTCAGGTTATCAGGGCTGGTAGCTTTCTGTAATGGTCTCTGAATACTGCAGAGATGAGCCTCTTTAATAGGAGGTGAGAGCTGTGTTTATCTGTGGGTGTGAAGTTAAGTATTTAGAATCCTGTTAGGAATTATACTTATTTAGAAAAATGGCGATTGTAGGTTCTTCTCTAACATGCATGAGCTCACTAACCACAAGTAGTTGGTTAGGTTTCCAGTACCAGACATGATTTTCCTCCTATTAATTGGGCCTTAAGTCTAATTAAACAGCCGTTGCCTACCAATATGGTCTGAGTGTCACTATTGCACCTTTAGGGGTATCTTTGGTATGGTCTGTAGGCATCATGGCTGGGTAGGGCTACTGAGTGCTTTCCTCCCTTGCACAGCACCCTTGGTACCATGAAGGCTGGTCTTCAGGGAGGAGGCTTTCAGTCAGGTCCAGCTTGATTCCTGTGAATCCAGTTTCGGGGGCATGAAAAACATAGGCAGTGCCCTACGAGATAGAGGTGTGGGGAAGGACTTTCTGACTAGGGCTCAGGGATTTTGGCTGACAGTTGACAAGCAGGACCTCATAAAACTAAAAAGCTTCTCTACAGTTTAGACATGAAGACACACACACACACAGAGAGAGAGAGAGAGAGAGAGAGAGAGAGAGAGAGAGAGAGAACTTTGCCAACTATATATTTGTTGCTAAAATTCCTTCTTGCAGTAGACATAAAGCAATGCTTATACCTCTCAAGGTCCCAACAACAAACTGAGGCAAAATTCTGCAAATTTTCACACTAGGGAACCAGTGAGTTTACTTGGCCTCATTACAGAGTCTCGGTAAGGGGTTACTAAGAGGAGCTGACGACTCCTCCAACCAGCCACACCTGAAAAGCCTTACCCAGCAGGGATGAGGATTTCCATCCCCCTTAGTAGGCACAGGTGAGCCCCCAAAGTCTTCTCTGCCCCCAGGTCATGGGTAGAGCTGCCAGGTGATAGGGAGGAGCTGGATACTGGTGAGAATCTCAAGCCCTTCTCAACTCTATTCAGAGGCTGTAAACCATCAATCAAACAGCCCGGCTGGGATGAGCTTTGCAAGGGAGGATGTAACTGAATTCCCCAAGATGGTGGTCCCTTGGCTCTGAGGACACTGGTGACAATATCTGACAGAGGATCAATAGATTATATAAAGAACTCAAGAAACAAAGAATAAAGAAAACAACCCAATTAAAATGGACTATAGATCTGAGCAGAGAGTTTTCAAAAGAAGAAATAAAATGGCTAATAAATATCTTAGTGTCCATCATCCTTAGCAATTAGGGAAGTAAAAATTACAGCCACTTTGAGATTTGATTGCTAGCCTAGACAGAATGGCTAAGATCAAGAAAAGAAGTGACAATAAAAGTTGGTGAGGATGTGGGGAAAGGGGAAGCCCATTCACTGTTGGTGGGATTGCAAATTGGTGTAGCCACTATGCAAATTACGAAGAATTCTTGAGAAGCTAAAAATGAGTCGACCATATGACTCAGCTGTAGCCCTCTTTGGCATAGGCCCACAGGACTTGACACCCTACTCCCACACACTTGCTCAGCCATGCTCTCTGCTGCTCTAGTCACAATAGCTAGGAAATGGAAACAGCCTAATGTCCTTCAGCTGATAGACAGATAGCTAGATAATGAAAATGTGGTCCGCATACTGTGCAATACTACTCAGCTGTAGCCAAAAATGAAATCATGCACTTTGTAGGGAAATGGAAGAAACTAGTTTGAAAATACTGTACTGAATAAGGGACCCCCAGACTCAGAAAGATAAACAACACATGTTCTTTCTCATCTGTGGTTCCTTGCTCCAAATCTTCAGATGTGAGTACATAGCTGGGTGTAACCCTAGAAGCCACAGAAGTAAAGGGCGCATGGGATGGTGGGGTGGGGAGCACTAGGGGGGTGATATGAAGGGAGAAGTGGGGTCTAGGTAGGAAAGGACAATAGAGGAGTGGAGGGATAAGTAATGCCAAGGATGTTTTAAAATGCCGCAGTGAAACATCTTATTTAATATACACCTCAAATTATATATAATAAACATAAGTTTTGTCTTCATGTATGTGTAGTTTAATGAAGTTATTAAAAGTTTTTTGTTTTTGTTTTTTTTTTTTGTTTTTTTTTTTTGGTTTTTCGAGACAGGTTTTCTCTGTGTAGCTTTGGAGCCTATCCTG